TGACGACATGTTCGTTACAGTACTGTAAAATAGAAACCATTTTAACATCAACTCGTTATATAAAACGATATATTGAACGGCCTCTCTATAATATTACTCTATAGTTCTCATACGATCAACCATGGTATATATAGTACAATGCTTTTAAAGGGAAATATATGACTTTTGAAAATATTGAGCTTGATTATATTATCTTTATATCACAGATACGATGTATAACTGATTCACTTCATGTAAGCCCGGGTTATCTTTATTAGTTGATTTATTACCTACAAAAATAATACTTTGTAAAACGCACAATATAATATTTTATATTTTTTGCACTATACATCAATTATTGCGTGACACTCATTTTGTTAAAAGTAGCCAGGTTACAGTTATATATTTTTTAATTAATAAAAATGTTTTGCCAAACGGTGAAAATGTATAGTGTAATAAACATAAAAGTGAGATGATTTTTTACATCCACAAGGCCCGGGGAAAATTAGGATAGTTTCATGTGTCAAATGAAAAGCACATCAAACAACTCAGAGCTTGAAGTTTCAATTTTGATATTTGAAAAAAAGAACCATGGTACATATCTTTTTAAACAAAAAACAATCAAAAATAAACGATACATTTTTCCTAGTCATTCTAAGGACCCGTATATTACGTAATTTGGAATAATATATGGGACATTTTAATGAACTAACTAAAATAGTGTTTCTTCATTTAAATATCTAATATCATCCAAATTCGAACTACAAATGCTTAAAAAAAAATTGTATCAATGCGTCTCTAATATTTTGAATTATCTATAATAGGATATTTTTATCCTTCCCATTTCGAATTCGAGTCAAGTGCAGTACTGCTCCAGTCACTTTAATACCTTTGTGAATGATTATTCTGTTGTCAGCTCAATATTAGAGATAAATTACAAAATATATAAAAAAAACAGGTGTCGTTGAGATAGTATTTTCTGATGTGAACAAAATTTAAAAACCGTCCAAGTACTTTCACTTTTAAGCATATTGGCTTTAGATGATTCTGTTCTATATCATAACTTTGTAACAAATCCGATATTTATCGAAAAACTGTGTTTTTGTGCAAATTATATTGATTTTTTTTTTTGTTTTATGGACATTTTATGATTTTAAGGTCACATTTCAAAAAAAAATCTGGGTTAAGTTTGAGATATATTGGTTTTACAATAATGTTTTTTTTTAATGCAGACTAAAATATACTTTTGTACATTTAACTTTCATCATAAGTTGAAAGTTTAGTAATTCATTTAAAAATAAGATATTATTTCACTTTTAACAAACTATTTCATCTTAACTAATCAATGACATATATTCAATTTATAATACAACAACTAGGACAACTATCAGTACGACTGTTGAAAAAAATATTTGATACCATCACTTCGAACAGGTAATAATAATTATTGACAACGCATGCGACTTTAAAATGTATTAATTAAAAATAACGCTAGATGATAATTTATTAAAATATAAATCAAGAATATTTTTCAGTTTGAAAACCTTTGGATTAGGTAACTCCATGTCAGAAGAGAACACTGGTCTTTCGGCCATTAGAAAACATCAACATCTAGAAGAGTCTAAAAAAATGATTGTAAGTACAGTAATGAATTAGGTATGTTAGTAAAACTGTACTTATACACCATTGGCTCTTCATCAAGTAGATATACTTAAGTAATTTGCATGGCTTTGTTGTTGGTTTGCAATCTAATACCTTCAGACTAAAATAAATACTTTGATGATATTGGTATAAGACGCGTACAGCAGCCTTTTACAGTTCACAGGGACTCCATATTATCATTATCGTCAGATAATGATATGGAGTTTGCTTAACGGTCAGAAAATCTGTTCGAGAAGCTGAAGTAAATAATATATTTAGTAGTATATACCTACTTGTATATAGGTAACTTTATAAAATTAAGTATATAGGTACGAATTTCAAAAAACGGAAAACATTAAAACATGGCATTTATATCGTGTAAATGTTAATTAGCACACGGCCGTGTACAATTATAGTTAAAAATTAAAATACTGTAAACGACGTAGGTACAACATAGTCTGACTATAAAATATTATATGTTAATGAAGACACTTTCGGTCGCGACAATGAAAACGCAAATTACCAAAATATAATATAATAGAATGACACTGTACCTGAGCAATAATAGAAGTGTATTGCAAACGCTTACCTACAACTATAGTCGGTTAGGTATATAATATTATTAAATAACATTGGCAACAATAAGCCGAATGTTACGAAAACTATATTGTTTCCCTCGGATTCTGGTAAACTGCTGGCAGCCACATTGGTATGTGACGTTTGATTTCCTTTCTTATTCTTAAGTATTACTATTTGGTAGGTATTTAGTATTTACTATGCATCAACTGATGGCGGGAGTTGGCTACATTCAATAGTTGTAAATTTGTTAATATATTTTAGCTATAAAGTATGAACTCAGATGATTGCTTGCTTGGTGAATATATAATTGATATATCAATAAAATATCAAGAGAGGAAAATGGTTCTTGATTATTATAACTGTCATAAATGTTTGAGTTTTAATATGAAAAATAAATTAAGCTCTGTTGTAATAAAACATGAACTTCAACAACAAACCGATTTAAAATTATAATGTAAATTATATGTATGCTTTTTGCATATAAGTTACAATATACTGATATATAGAGTACCTAACTATTTAATTAATTGTTTTTCTATTATTTCCGAGGAATTCAAATTATTTTTCCTTCTGAAAACCACTCAACTCATTTTAAACCTTACTTGAAAGAAGGAAATATTGTCAGTCCAAATATAGGCAATTTTTTTTATAAATATTGTAATATTAAAAGACAAATTGTAAAAATAAATGCTTCAAATAAAAGAAAACACGTTGATGATGAACCTCAGTTTAATTCTTGTGAAGATTATAAATTACAATTTGGCAATATATTTAGTACCTACCATAAAAATGGATGAATAGAAACTTTTCATTTTCAAAAGCTTATAACTTTGGAACGGAAATAACAAAACAATTTATAGTTTCAAATTGTTGTTTTTAAACATATTATATTCAATTTTCACTAATATTTTTTATGGTGTAAAATAGTTTGAGTAAATTTAGTATGTGTTTTGATATTTTTCACTGACAAGGATTTTGCTTTTAATTTATCGAGACAAAATATAAATAAAAATCTTTTAAACATTACTATTTAATTAAAATTTATTAAAATATGATTATATTCATCGATCAGTTTCATACTTTATATGCAATTAATGTTTTTATTTGAATAGATTATAAGGAATCTCTTACTTGGCTAAAAAGTCAAGTCAAACCTGAAAATGTTCTTCATAAACTTTGGTCCGATACCTCTCTACATAGGTTTAAATTCCATAAAAATAACAATATGAGGAACTTATATCCAGCTTTCAAAATACCACTGGTCATTGTCTTGTTAGTATTATTTGTCAGTTAGTTAGTTTTTATGTTTAGTACATACCAATCAAAATAAATTGAATTAAATACTTAAATTACAATGTAATACTATATTATTTATAGGTTGATATTGATTTTGCTCATCTGTATCCCGATAGAATAATATACCTCTTTCAAAAATTTGAAACATTCAAAAACAAGTTGAAAATATACCTCAGTAAAAACTGTATGAATATTGGTTCACAAGGGTTAGAACTTTCCAAAATACTTGAAACCCCTTTAAATAAGTGTACATGAGTTGAAGTGATAAATTGTGATAAACAGTAATAAATAATATGTTTCATTAGAAATTAAAAAACTTATTATTTTGCAGGAGATTATGATTTGCTTCATTCAAAAGAATTCCATTTTTATTATAACAAGTTAATGCTGATTTACACAACAACAAAATTCTTAGAACATCAAAAATTGAACAATTGCGTGCTTTTATTGTGATTATTCATTTAATTTACTATAGTTCCGAAGTAATGGTTAATTATAAACATTTATTTTTATATTTCAAAATGTTAATGAACTGAAAACTACACATAGACTTCAGCATTAAATTTGGGTATAATAGTACAACCCTATGTTGTTGTTGTTGGAAATATTAATGAAGAGGACAATTCTATGCAGTATTCCACTATAATACATGTTCATTTTCAACTGGAAACTGTACAGAAAGCAATATCGATATCTGTTTTAGACTGTCTCATGTACTAAACTTAGAATATTCGACTCAAGTACAACAAGTATAGCATTTTTAAAAACATTATTTTTTCTGATCAGAAGAAAGGAAGAACATGTTCATGTATTCTAATTTTATGTAAAGACTTAGAAGTCTCATAATTATTAAATATTAAAATAAAGTTACTTAATAGTTAATTCTGTTAGTAGTTATAATTATTATTTATTCAGAAAAATGTTCAGTTGTTTTATCTGTGATTAAAATTTTGATAATATATCTTAATTTAATATATTATCATGGTATAAAGGATATATTTGATTTTATTAGACTAGATGTTTATTATTGATATACTTTTTACTGCTTAATATTCATCTAACAAGCTTACAGATCATTTAACATATCTGTCAATTTAAATTTAGTCGCTGAAGAAAAACGTCAAGGGTCGCATGTCACAATGTTATAATCATTTATAAAACATTTTGACAATTTAACTTTTTCTACGATTTCATAAAGCCTATTATTAAAAATATTTTCAAACTGTTAACACATATTATAACTAATAAAGAATTCATTTTTTTGAGTTCATATTTCTTAAATATGTATATTATAGTATAACCAAAAGCGAATCTTCATAATATATTAATTTTTAATATGGTTTTATCCTTAACACATAATATATTTAAAAACCATAATCTATTAACATAATAAGAAATATTTATAAGTTATAATAATTGTTAAGTCTAAACTATCAATATTATAAGCCACAATAAATTATAATATTGATCATTAACATGAGTGTTAATTAATTTTAAATTTTAATCTAATTGAATATCACTTTAAAAAGATTTTCAAATACTGTGGCAAATGCTTTGCAGGCAGCACAACTATTAGAACTATTCAATTCAGCAAGTCCTGTAGTAGTTAAATGTACATTCTTTTTATGTAGGCCAATAGTTTGTTTATCTCCAACTGAATAAAAACAGAAAAGTATATTATATTAATATATTATTAAAAAGATATTAATTTTTGGGTAAAAATAACTGTCATTTGTTATCATTTACATTTATCATCATCACACATCATTAACATGGCACATGGAATACCCGGATCGGTTTCAATTGCAATACACTTAATGATTTGCTGATAGTTTGAGTCAATAAAAGATTGACATTCATTTTCTACTACATTTGGTAATGCGCTACATGTTGATTCTAAAGTGTGTTCTATTTCCTCCTAAAACAAAGTTAAATGTAATTGTATTACTTTAATAACTCATATTCAAATAAATCTTTACAAAAATTCAACATACTTGATTTGATTTGTCTTTGATTTCACCATTCAAATATTTCATTACAGTTTTGCATACTATACAATCAAATGGTATTGTAACTTTTGGCTCTTCCAACATTTTGTAATTATTGGCCATTAATTGTCCCATATTGTACCCCGGAAACACTAAAGTAATTTGTCCATCTGTAGCAATCATATTTGTTTCTAAAAAAAAAAATAAAATCCAAATAACCAATTATTATATCCACTAACTTCATTAAATAATAATTTATATACATTTAATTCGCTCACCTAAATCATTTTCAGCACTTTCAGAGATGGTCTTTGGTTTGCAAATGTCCAATAAAACACAAATTTCTTCAATTTTAACTTGAGCAATTAACATGTCGAGTATACTCTGTAACTGAGTTGAAACAAACTCTGTGCATTCTCCTTTCCATTTTGACGGTAGTTTGGTACATAGCTTTTCCAATTTTTTTTTAATCACTTCCTGAATATTACAATTATAATTAATTATTTATTCTTTGTGTACTTATTTGCTACATCTAAACAAGTGTCCTTATCATGGTCGGTAAGATATGAAACAACCAACCAGTGTAAACAACTTGAAATAAAATTATTGAATTACAGTAGAATCCGCTTATTACAATACTGTGTATAACAATATTCCAGATAAAACAAGTCCCAGCCTTGTTAGTTTTATAGTATTTTATATTATGCAGTATGTTGATGTCATTTGGATATAATAATCTGCTTTTCTAGGCCCCTTAAAGATCGTTAAAAGCGAATTCTACTCTATATATTATTTTGGCATAAGGTATATGATATTCATAGACCTTATAGTAGTTACTAGTATAATGTCGATGATGATATTATATTTGGTATCATAATATTAACTTGTAACTAAATATTTATTAATTAAAAAAATTTTTAAAAAAACTTCATATATAGGGAGATGTATTAATGGTCAAACTTTTTTTTACCAAGAATAATAAATTCAATTTACATTTATATGACCATTTGCCATACATTATTTAATATATTATATTATATTATAATAAATCATAATCATTGTAAAGAATATAAGGTAGTAAGGTACTATCATACTATCATCGTTTTTCCGTGTGTCCGTATAGACCGTGTTCAGAATTTTTTTGTTATTCACCATATTACATAATATATTGTTGAGGTAAAATGAAGTTACTAGTTATTATTAAATATATTTAAATAACCATATAACCCACTGTGGAATAGTTTGATGTATTGTGGTAGGTAACAGATAAGTAAATAACCACGTTGACTGATGATATATTTTGCATTTTGGTTTAAAAACTATAATCATTAATTGTTTTACTTGACATAATTGTAAAACAGGTGAAGATTTTTTTGTCAATTGATTTCAGTTATTATCATGTAAGTAAAAAACTTACAATAGTTCAACATCGTTACCAGAAAATTCTAATTTATTTTTGTTTAATATTTAATATTGGTATAAATGGTATTCTATACACCTAACACCTAGGTATTTTATATAATTACATTTGAAATTTTAACTGAATAAGTTAATAAGCTAAAAACAAACATAATTAACTAGTTAAGTTAATGCCCAACTTTGCATTTTTAGTACTGAGTTAGAAATTGTTCTACCCATGATTGAGTTATTTGTTTCAATATGTAGCTAATATAAATAAAACAGATGTTTTAACAGTATTTATTATACTTTAACACTCACAAGAGGACTGCAGTGGTACAGACTACAGAGTAGACAAAGTACAGGGTGAATACAAAATAAGTCTATACTCTATTCCTACTTCTACAGCGCAATTATCAGGGCATCATTAATCATTATTAATAATAATAATTATTATTATTATTATAGTTATTTGCCATTTGAAATTCAATTTAAAAGTAACCAAATCTTAGATTTTTTTCTAAGACAAAAATAAATAGCATTAAATAAAATATAAATGTATTTTAAATTTTCAAATAATATTGTTTTGCGTTAGTTTTCGTTTGATGATATTCTATAAATTCTGTTTTGCGATATTTTTTGTTTAATAATTATATATTTTGTTATTCGTTATGGTTTGTTTTGCGTTATTACATTATTTTTGATTATCGCTGTCCGTTATAATGACGTTTACAAATTTTAATCGTTATTTGACAAATATAACGTTTGCAAGCCTTGATATTCTCGGCTTAAAAACTTGAAAGTGTAATACAGAATACCAATGAATTTTTTGTAAAGCATTTATAAATATCAAAAGCTTTGGTACATACAAACTTTTTTTATATAATGGAGTACCTAGTATTTTTTTTTTCAATTATATAATATGACTATCTCCCAAAATAATATGTAATTTTATTTTGTTATAAATTTTTGTATATGAGTTGTTAACATTGGCTGGGCATCTTGACAAGGCGACCGTTATTTGTTATTGGCCTACCACTAAGCTGTATTACCTGCCACTAGTATTTAATTAAAAAATTTGATATTTTTCTGTATTTTAATAATGCTTGTAATTCTAGTAATGATTTATTCATTAAAAAAAATAAATAGTACTTATAGTATTTGAAATAGATTATAATGTAATTATAACATTAAAATGTTGTTAGATGTTGTAACTAAGATATTTAATATTGGCATTTTTACAGTAAAAACACAATATAGTGAAAAGAAATGAGATGTCTGACACATTAAACTATTATAGGTATTATAGCTATTATTTTAAGGTTCCTTAGAATATTGTCTTATTTACATATTATTATGAAATATTAATTATTAACCATGTTCCTATTGATTGTAAGCAATAATAATATAAGTTAGTATTTCCTTTTATTTGAAAGTTTTGTATTGGTATATAAAAATTATCCAGAGTGGCGGTTACAAACAGGTACCATATTTAATACTATAATTTTTTACTTAATATGTGATTAGCACTAAGACTATAAGTTTATTCATTTAACAAATATTTTGTTAACTTACTTCTGTATCTTCATTAGAGATTTCAGATTCTAAAGCTGACATAAAAATAACACACATTGGACAATTATTTGAACTTTCACTATCTTCGTTTGAAGTTAAAGACAAATCTGTAACTGGGCATAATTTCAATTCTGGACAGATCTAAGCAAATAAATAAATAATTAATTAATTATCATACTTAAGGTAAGGGAAACTATAATTGAGTGCTCACACTTGATGGATCAACTTCTTGAGCTATAAGTGAAATAAAGACATCACCATATTGGTCGACAAACTGTTTACATTGTTGTTCAAATGACCTTGGCACAACGAAGCATGACTTTTCCAATGCTGTACGGATTTCTGCTTCAGATTTTGGATTGGATACTACTTGTTGCACATAATTTAAAATTGATTGGCACAAGAAACATGTAGTTTTATCAGTAGGCATACTGACATCATTGACTATACAAAAATATAATTTGATAAAATTAGTAATTACTCATATTTCATGTAAATCAGAGGTTCTCAAACTGCAAGGTTTCTCAAATCTAGCCCTCTTAGTGGACATTAATGTCTGAATTTAATTAAAATAAAACAATATTTGGTTAATCATGTTTATTTTATTAACAATAACCAGCATATTATTCTTAATTCTTTAGTTGAAAACGAAATTAGTTTTTTATTTTTTATTATTTATTGAAAATTAAATAATTAATTTGGTTCATAGCCCAATACATGTTTTATACATAAGTGAAATAATAACAGAATTGAGCAGTAGAATTAAATAGTTAGTAAAAAATAATAATACAAATTAATGAATAAAATAAAACATAAATTACTGATAATTTCTAATTATATAATTATGAAAAGACTTATTAGAGTTAAAATGTAATAAATATATTTAGGTATCATTAACTCATCTCGTGGATCTAATTAAAGGAGCATTTAAAGCATTTATAGTAGTCCTGTGCATTTGTGTATAAAAAGTGTAAGTAATTATATTGCTTTAATCGTTAATGATTACGTTATGAACAACCAAATTAATAAGCAAATTATTCATACATCATTGTTCGTGCGTTATGTATATTTAATGGAGCATTTCTAATTTTTGGGGCTACGTAGAATTTTCTTAGCAACATAAGAGTTCCACAAACAAAAAAGTGTGAGAACTGCTGATGTAAACAATTGATTTATACTATCTTACCAACAAAATGCATTTCCTTATAGAACACATCAATAACTTCAGATTTCTTAGTGACATTAATATTTTTAACTTTACGAGGTTTTTCATCAACCATGAGAAGGGTAGGCTTATGTTCATTTTGCTCTTTTTTAGCAGTAAATGAACTATCTTCTTCAATTTGAATGGCTTCTTGGGCTTTTTCTTTATTTTCTAATATAAGCTTATCAATGTGTGCATTATTGCACAAACCAGAAACTGAGCAAACAGCATTTGAGTCCATTTGTGAAGCCAACGTGTCAACGAGTTCAGGTATAAAATCATCCGATAATTTCTGACACTCCTTTTTAACTATTTTTAATGACAATAATCCACAAGATCCATCGAAGACTTCTTTAAATTCTTCCTAAAAGTTCAATCATTCAATTATTGTAAATTGTTTATTTTAAATATAGTACATTGGGTGACTACTGTAGTTTTTCTTAGTTAATTTATATGTTCTCTTTTCAGCATAACGGTATAACACAACAACTGTTATATATTTTTTTTTTAATTAATTTGCTTCATTATTTGATTTTAACTCAAGAATATGTTCACTAACATGTTGTAAATATATTTAACATTAATAACTTACCAATGTAACATTACTGGTGAGTAGGTCACGAGCTTCTTGCACAATATTTTTACAAATTATACAAATATCATCATTATCTTCCGGATATGTCTGTGTAACCCAAGTTGTTTGAATGCAATGTTTGACAGCGTTACAACCAGCAGCGTTACTAAATAATTTGTTTATTATTAATTTTCATCGTTAATTGAAAATAATAAATTATTCAAATTTTAACTATTCCAGTTTATTTATTTAATAAATAATAATACAGCAAAAATTGTAAAATTGCGAACTAGTGGCAACGCGGGCATCACTGACGTGGTATACGTATAACGGAAAAGATCCATGAAAAGAATAGTCTAGCCCACTACACAAGATCTGCCATTGTTTTCTATACTACCTAGTATAGGCACAAATAGCTTTTGGGATTTTGGGAGGCTAAGGACATTTTGGGGTGAGCTTAGCCACTAGAGCCCCCTACTTTAGCCTGTGCTACCTAGCTGTAAATATGAGTATATTATACGGTCTACCAATGATTTATGTTCTCCTATAGCTTTAATATCTGCATCACTATGATTATTGTATTATTATTTTAGACCACTTTATACATTTTATCTTTATATCAATAGTGATACATATTATTTTAAACATACATATCCCAGTGTAAACTTTTTAAAACCAATGATGTTATAGGTAACAATAGTTTGGTTGGTTGGAATAGTCTTGTTTGAGGTATATATTATATAGAGGTACTCTAGATTAGTAGATTATAACTAGCATTTAGATTCTGAGTGGAGCGAGGAAGCTAGTGGTTTTACAATGGTGTTTATTTTTTTTTTTTTTTATATCCTGTATATACAATTTCTAGCAGAGAGAGTGCTTCGATTTCTATATAATATAATACCTTATCTTTTAGCAAATTGGATCAAGGTGGTACTTTAGAGAGGTAATTTTTCGATTTTATCAATAGTTATTTAATGCCACGGGAAAAACCAATGAGAAATTATGAAAAACCGCTAATAATGGGATTTTAATTTAACGGTCTATAATCTAAGCTATAGTTAATGTTTTCGTATCTAAATCTAATTAACTGTTATATAAAAAAATAAATTATACGGTGACGTAGCCAAATATACCCGGGAGAGGAAACACAATATATCTATATTATATCCTGCTCAGTCAAGGGCGCACCCAAGGGGGTGGCTAACGGGCTTTAGCCCCCCCCCCAAATGGCTAGCCCCAAACATTTTGATAATTTTATTAGGTTTATTGACAAATTGACATTTTACTTTAAATTGTTATAAAAAAAAATTATCAACTATCGAAATTGAAACATTAGGTATAACATAATATTATATTATATCATTGATTTTATAATTTTATTATATTTATACCTGTCATTCCGGGCCCCGGGAGAGACCTCTGTTGTCTATTATTATCAAACTTCAGAAGTACTCTCAGTATTGGGGAAAAAAGGACCAAGGCGTCTCAACTTTATAATTTAAAAGGTTAGACTTATAAAAAATAATCATTATATTATTCATAATTAAATAAATAGGTAATATTTATGTTTTACAGGTATAACATCAAGGCTACGGCGACACTTAAAACCGGGACAAAAATAAAAAAAATTTGTTAGTAAAAGATTGTAAAAAAGCTTAAAGATTTCTGTACATATTTCAAAATAAATACTACCTATTAATATTAAAATTATGTGAATTTAGCCCTCCCCAAAAAAAAATCCTGGGTGCGCCCCTGTGCTCAGTAGCACGTGAGCTATAGCTATTACTCACGTAATGTTTTTGCACCAAAACGACGGGCCGTAAGTGCATTCTCGCAAGCCGAGCATTTGGACATGTCTCTGGACGAAGATGGTTTCAGCATCAGCCAAAGCACCTGACAACGGAAAAAAAAAAAATATGTTAAAGGTAACGAGGGATAGCCGAACACATAGTGCACGGTGTAGTTGTACTGTACGATAATAACATTATACAACATTTCAGGTGGTTGTTGTAATTCAGTACTCACCGGTGGACAGCAGTGCGACGAGGCCGAAAAAGGCCAGTGGCCCGCAAAGGCGGACATCACCCTTGGCAGCGGTCATCGTCAGGGTTCTTCTCGATGACGGTATTACGTTTATACGATTACGTTACACGAAAATATAATAATATATTGTGTTACCTATACTGAATATTATATTTTATGCGGAAGTCCGATCTGCATCCGATCCGGTGTTCATCGAGCTTACAACGTGAGACGATGGTGTACGTCGGTTTTGTCACAACGGCAATAATAAGCGACGATAACAATGGCAATTATTGGGAGTCTGACAACTCAGTCACAGAGGTAAAGGTCGGATGAAACAGTGCAGCGTATAATAATAATCTTATTGTGTAGACGGATTACGAAAACACGACTACAACGACGATAAAATATATGAAAAGTGAAAACGGTTTTTTGAGGTTGACTCGGGATGACGAGAGGGAAACAGGTGATATTACGACCCGTCGCTAGGGTTACGACGGCCTGTGTTGCTGAACCACTCTGTCCGGGTCGAGGAGGAGGGAAGGGAATTGATGATGGCGTTCTTGTTCTCCGCGGCACTTCGATCGGATGGACGTGCGGGGTGGCGAGGTTGTCATGTATAGCGCGAAGGGGGTAGCGGTACTACAGCAGCCATGGTAGGTAGTAGGTAACAAAGCGTGTGGACTGCGGGGTGCATATATTATAGAATAATAATAATAATAAACCACGGCATTCTTGTAGCAGGTGATCTACCCCTTGGGGGGAGGAGGATCTGTTAATTCAGGACGAGTGATTTACGTTTCAATAGTATAAAAACACATTATATTTTTTATTACGAGTATATATACGTCATACCATACAGATACAAATATTCGTCAAATATAAAATAGAAAAATGGGGGGCGAGGTGGCCGAGCGGTCTAACACGTCGTCTGCGGCGCTGGCGGTCGCGGGTTCGATTCTCTCGGCCACTGGGCGGCATTTTTCTCCGGGCAAGTCACGGTGTCCGGAGAACAATTGCCGCCATCCCCCCACCCCGGGGCATGGCAGAAACCTACGGTTGCCCCAGTCGAAATTCTGCCAAAAATACACCCACGTGTAACAACCTACAGTTTCCCTCTACAGTAACACGGGCTAATAACCTTGCAGTTGATGCCTTTAAAATTTAAAAAAAAAAAATAGAAAAATAATTAGCCAAATATAATAATAATTTCAATTACCTACAGTAAACATGTTTACTGTATCATTTAAAAATTTAAAAAAAATATTTTGAGGGTTAACTGATCTCCAACGTGCTTCAATCAGATGACGATGTAAAATTTCTGATGTAGTGCCATTGATTTTTCGAAGTATTTTCATTTTAAGATGTGACCAAATCCATTCTATTGTCTGGGTGGAAGCCGGGTTATCTGCTTATTGCATATTAACTTCAAGCTTACCTACATAACGCTATTAACGCACCTATTATATTAAGTGTTCCACAATAAATGTGTCAAACTTCTAGAGGTTTTTCTACACCTCAAATGGAACAAAAAAAATTCTTTTGATTTATTGAAAAAAAAATGAATCATTCCTGTCAAAAAAGAAACATTTCTTTTATGAGACTATTATTGTCTATTATGATTATTGGACCGTCAAACTGTTTTGAATTTGAATAAAATGCTTTTTGTTATTGATGTTATTATTATTATTATTATTATTAAGTATGGTATACAGTAACAACGTTTAAAGTTGCTGCCGCATATCAAAATATATATTAATATAATATGTTAAAAGTTCACTAAACTTCACGCTTTATAATAATGTGAATAAATAGTATAATGATGTCTATAAAAAATTGTAAATCAGTTTAAACTACCTACTGAAAAGTAAAACTCTGTTTGACTACCTTCCATAATATAAACACCGGCTACCATATCTTCTTTGAAAATTATATTTACGCCCCAAAATAAGATTTGCACACCAGCTCTGCAATGTGTAGTTGCACACTGGCCTACATTTGTATACGAAACAATAGAACATATTACAAATCAAAAATACACAATCATAATAATATATTATTGTTTTTTTTTTTTATGATTATTGAATATATTATGTGTGCAATGTCTTGTTAAAAGGCTAGGATAAATAATATATTAATATAGGTATTTTACTTTGACCCAAGCAACACGGCAAAGCTTAGACCCTGTGTTACACGTCACTGGTTAATTGTAATAACTATTTAAAAAATAAAATTTCATATTTAGCTTATTGGTTTAAATTATGAACAAAGTCACAAATATAGATACTATTTTTAGTTTATCTTTCATCTATAGATAGTTACTGTGCATCTTTATTAGCGATTTCAATCAAATGTCAATTGAATATATTTATATCTATATTATAATATTAGTTAAATTAGGTTCCATATAGTTCCATATACTCACATTTTGGTATACTAGAAGGCAAGGCTGGGCAAGTTAATGATTTTTTTTAACTCAGTTAAATTAATATGCACCAATAACAAAAAGTTAAAAGTTAATTTAACTATAGGTTAACTCAGTTAAGTTAAAAGTTAATACAAACTTTTTGTTAACTTTCTATTAAGTGAAAAAAAAGTTAATTTGTTTATACAACGCTGGCATACTTAATTTTTTTCCAACCCAAAACTAAATTATAGACTATAGCGTTTATACATTGTACAGTATTTCCATAAAAGTTACATTCGAATGATATACATTTTTAACTCTAAACAGTTAACGGTAAATATTTTTTGACATGAAAACAAAATTGACTGAAATTGTGAAATATAATTAAATTAAAAACAAAATAAATTAACTTGGCTTACTTCTTAAAATGAAAAGTTAATTGGTTGATTTCACGTTAATTAAAAAAAAAATTTAGTAAGTTAACAGTCGACTTAATGAAATGCCAAAAATAACTTAAATGAACTAGATGATTTTACATACATAAAATGTTTACAATTACTAAAAAAAAAAAAAAAAAACAAGACAATGAAATTTTCCTAATAAACCAATATCATTTATCATTATCAATCAGATATAAAACTGATTATCAAATGAGCATAAAATTCAAAACAAAAAAAAAGGTCAATTCATGCATATAATTATGATTTATGAAACCCTTCTTAAAAAAATCCTGCCTACACCACTGCATGGAAGGGAAAATAGATTTTTAATTAATGTTTTGATGTCACTTATAAAATATATACAAATTTGTAGGTACAAAAAAAATGGACTATATTTTCATAAAAAATAAAATAATGTTTAACCATAGAACCAACAGTATTCAACTGGTTTGTAAGCTTGAAAGAAAATACAATATAATTGAACAGTTTATATAGCATTAAACACTGATTATAAATATGAAACAAAATATAATAATTCACACGATTTTAAGATTATAAAGATCAAAAATTATTTTACACTGTTTGCGATCTTCACTGCTTTCTTCGCTGCATGTTTTAATGTTTTTTTAGTGTTCTGGTCAGTTTCTATCAATTCATTCAACTTTTGATAAGCTAAAAAAAAAATTTTAAATATATAATATTATGATATTTATTATTCTTCTCTGTTAACCTACAAGCATTCTTGCGTTTTTTGTTAGAAATAACTGTTGTTTTTGGTTTAGATTTGATTATTCCAAATGATGTCGATAAATTGAGACCATTGGAATTTTGGTTGTTCAAGAATTCATAAACAATCCAAGATTGTGTAGCCAATGCGCTGATTGAACATATTAATTTAAATATGGGGGTGTTGAAGTCAAGTAATTCTCCACTGTACTGCACATCTTTAAGACCAAACCATAGCATTGTCTGAGATAGGATTAATATCAGCAATTGTACGGCATAAAACAACCAGGTGTACACATTTTGGGCCACTAATAAAAACATACATTTTAACAAAATAATTTCTTAATACTCATAGGATTCTAAAATAACTCACATTGAACTTTTTTACTACATTGTTTTTTCTCAGTAATTTGAATCAATTTAATGGCATGTTTAGTAAATACACAAACATAATTCAACAATAGTAATACAACACCAATACGGTGGAAACTGAAACGTAAGACCAATATTTGATTAATACAATATTTATTTTGTAGTTCTCATAAGAAAATTCTTCAAAATTACTTAGTTATGTATATAGCCGAGACAAATGCCAAGTACAATAGAGAATATTTCACTCTGCTAAACATATCCTCTTTTTTAATTTTTTGGAAATACAGTTCTGGCATAATATGAGCCCAGTAAGCAAATTGGATTATGTAAAAGAATTTTGTTGAAAAGGATAGAGTGCTGTATGGATATCCAATCCATAATGATGAAAGATCAGCCAACCAATTGCCACTGTAAAATATATATAGAACTTCATCATAAAATATCTAATTAATTCTATACACTAAATAATATTTTATATTTTAAATAGTTTTAAAAAAAATACTAATGAACAGTCCATTTTAAATTATCCAATAATTTATTACAAATGCTTACTTCACAACAATGTATAATGCCCAAATCATAGAAACTGCATTGAATACAATCAGCTGTCCGGATTCATTGAATTTTGAGTTTTTTGATTTGGATAAATGCAACTTACAGCAAATTTTCTGTAAGTAAAATTGATTAGATGATTAACTATTAAAATAAGTTAGTATTAGTTTAGTATTGACTATAGACGGTGGTGGATATGATGAGAGGTGGTGTACGTACCAATTATTATGGTTAATAGATAAACATAAGTACTTATAAATTTACTTAATTAACTAAATTAACTGTTAAAAGCATTTGGTAATTACTTAAATAGGATATAAATTCTGAATATAACTCAAAGTATGAAACAAATGATTTTTTATTGATCAGATTCTAGATTTTTATAATTAGGTATAAAGCTATTGAACAAATAAAATACATGTAAAATATTAAAATAAAAGTTTGGAGTGTATAGCACATTTTTAATTCAATCCAAATGTTGTTTAAATTGAAATCAAACAATAAGGACTTGTTATTTCATCTAGATAATGATGAACCAACTGTTTTTGATAACACATACATGTACATTTCGTGAGAACGATA